AGACAGGGACCATATAAACCTTAACAGACACAGGAACCAAGAACTCAAAGCATACTTTTTCACTGTGGAGAATTTCCCTTTTTTACATAGGCTACATATTCATAACTTTTTTTTCCCTTACACTTTAAGAGATGCATTACTTAAGATTTAAAGCTCAGTTATCATGCCTGCAATTTTATCCCCTTCCAAATGTTCCATCAAAAGACGTATTCATAAACTGGGTGTGGTGGTGCATGCCTGTAATCCCAGCATCGGAGAAACTGAGGCAGGAGAATCACTGCGAGTTTGAGGCCAGCCTGGGCTACAAAGTGAGTTCAAGACCAGGCTGAACTGCACAGTGAAACCCTGTCTCAAAACAAAACAAAATATTCATATTGTCCTTCTCTGGAGAGAAAGAAAATAACAAAATTTTAAAAACAGCACCAGTGCAGACTTTCTAATCAGGTAGACGCTGACCTAGGAGTCTCGGATGATGAGGATGGCTGAGTGTTCTCTTTACTCGAACGACCTGCAGTCTACACACAAGTATACTCACATACAAAGATACGCGCACCCTACACACCTACAAAGTAGCTTCTTTCTCCCTAAATGTAATGTGTCAAAAATACAGATTCTCCACGATGAAAGTAATCATTATGTACTACAAACACGTACTAATAAAGAAAATTAAATGACAGTTAGTACAGGCCGCGAAAAGACAAAGCCCGCCCAACCCGCGCGCGCCCTCGCAGCTCCCGCCTCGCCCGAAGCCCGCAGCGCGAGCTCCGCAAGGACGGGAGTTCTGCCACAGTCTCCACGACCCCAACCCCGGAAATGCTTTGCCTTCTGGAAAGAAAAAAACCTTCTGAAAAGGCAGTCGCCGGCTGCAAAACCTCAAAAGCGCCCTCGCGACGAACCCCAACACAACCGGTGGGACCTCCAGAGAGGCCACCCAGCGGGCCCGGGAAAGGCGGCGCAAAATGACGCGATCGGAGCGACCGAGCTCAGCGACCACTGAGGTAGAAATCTGACGACCAGCCACCAGACCGGAAGAGGCGGCGCCGGCATGACGTCACTTCCACCTCCGTGTTTCAAGTGCTGTGAGTTGGGGTTCTCCGTAGCTTGGTTCTCAGAGTCCTTCAGGAAGGGAAACCTCCCCGCAACCCCAGTACTGGAGAGTGAACCCAGGACCTTCACACTGAGGCTGAAGTAGAATTGCTGTGATTTTGAGGCCAGCCTGAACTACATGGCTAGACTGTGTCTACACAGTTCAAGTCCAGCCTAAACTACATGGCTAGTCTGCGTCTCAAGAAATAACAAAACAATCAGATGGAGAAAATGATACAGTATATACTTCATTTACCTCACCTAGCCACCCCAGTGCTTGCTCAACAGGCCCAAAAATAAAATGTAAGGACAAGAGTGAAAGGTATTTGTGGTTCAATAATACATACTTGCACTCATCAAGGCTGACACAACTAACACTACTGTAGTGTCCCTAACCTGCTTGCTAAAAGCAGAAACAACACTTACATCCCAACAGCACCATTCAACTAATCCACTAGATGGGAGGCCTGTCTATGGCAAGTTTATCACACAGGACCCATCCCCTCAGGAGGGTGACTGAGATTGCTCCTCACTGGAATAAACTCATGCTCTGGATGCAGATTTGCTTTTCCCTTAATTATGCTTCTGCTGGCACCATATGTGGTGCCTTTAAGATGTTTTACCCATAGTTATGGCATTCATGTGGCATTATTGCTCCTCAAGGAGCCCTTTTTACTGCAAAGGATGTACAAAAGTAGGCATGTGTCCCTGTGATCAGGTGGGTTTCTTACTGTGCATCTTGTCACTCACAAGCACATGACTTCAATGAAAGGGGAGTAGCTTACACTGTAAAATAAGAATGCCATGTGGCCATTTTATATACCACTAAACCAAGAGACAAGAAAGAAAAAAGGAAGGAAGGAGTGTTTCTACTGCTTGGAGCAATTGATTCCAAAGGAGCCAGGTGTGGTGGCACATGCCTGTAATCCCAGCACTCAGGAGGCTGAGGCAGGAGGACTGCTGCAAGTTCAAGGGCAGCCTGGACTATATCGTGAGTTCAAGACCAGCCTGAACTGAATAGTGAGACTCTGTTCTCAAAAAAAACTAAACTAAGGACCAAAGGAAACAGGGTACAGCTATATAATTGAGGCAAGGAGGGTAATGGTTGCTGGGAGTGAAGTTGTCTGTACCTCAGGTATCTACGACAAGGTCACCGCTTTTCATGAGTTTGGCAGGGCCCCATGAGCAGTGTATGCAACTCAGGGATCTAACACACAAAGTGACTTGGCCTGCCCCTGAGATAACAGACAACTCCTTTCCTGTTCCCCATGTAACCACCAAGGCATGATGTTTTGTTAACGATTAGATGTTCTTCCTATTCCAGATCTTACCCTACCCTTAAAATTCTCTGTAAACAGCCTCTTACGCTGATTGTATAAGTAAATGCACTGCAGTTGTTGGGCAGTCTTTTCTTCCATCAGGAAAGAGGCTCCACCTGACCTCAGCTTTCCAACTCTTGTTTTCATTTCTTCATCCTCCACCGTCCTCCCTCCGCAATTTCAAGAGATACAGCAAATGTCAAAATTACAACTGAAAGTGGTAGGACCACTGGTGGCCTGAATGGTCTGAGACCATTTGGGAAAGAAGGTCTGGGACACTCCAGCAGGTACACAACCACAGTCACTTACATGCGTATTTATATAAACTAAACATACACTTCCCGTATCTACTTTGTATACAAGTTAGTGGCAATTAGACTTATAGCTTAGTTCACTTAGCTAATAATATTGTGAGAATATCATGACATTTGAAAGGAAATGAATATGACCTGTAATAGGAAACTGCACTAGCTCACTTAGAAGGGCAGGAACTTCTCTTGAATTATGTTGGGTAGAAATATAGTTAACTAATGAAATGGAATTGAAATCCTCTTGTGGATGGGTGCTTATGGATGATGGACTGTGCACTGTTGGTTATCAATTTATTAATCTTGACTCTAAGGACTTTTTAAAGTAGGTTCACTTATATCACTGACAGATGAAGAAACTGAGATCGTTTTTATTTTTGTGAACGTTGCTGGGGCTGTTTTGGTTTTTTTTTTTTTAGACAAGTCTTGCTACATACTCCAGGCTGGCCTCCAACTCGGTGATCCTCCTGCTTCAGCCTCCCAAATGCTGGGATGACAGGCATGCTCCAAGCTCTCATGGTTAACTTGTGTGTACAAGGTCACTTATCAGTTATGTGGTAGAGACAGAATTTGAACTTGGCTTCAGAGTTTAAGTTTGTTTGGGGGTGTTTTGGTTCTTGCTTTTTGTGACAGAGTTTCACTATGTAGTCCAGGTGGTGTAGTTTAGGCTGGTCTTGAACTCCCAGATATTTCTGCCTCATCCTTGCAAGTGCTGGGATTACAGGTGGGCATCACCAAATTTAGATCCAGGATTTACTGCACACTATAATGCACCACTTAGGAACATGGGGATTATTTGCACCTCTCTTGTCTCATAAGTGTTGAAAATTTATTAGTGCATATGAATTATACAGAATGTTATCATTTTGTCATAGTCACATACATGCGTATTTTCATCCTTTCCACCCTTCCTGTTACACTGTCTTGGCCCTTCTCACTTCTTCCATTCCCCTTTTTAGTCTCCCTATTTTTGAGCATTTCACCACACCTATTTTAAGCTGCTGGGTATAGGGGAGCACTGAGGAATAAAACACAAAGGACCTATTCTTGCTGCATCCAGCTCTGCTGGGTAGACTGCAGAGGCACCTGTTATACATGGCCAATATATGTCACAGAACACAGGGCCCATAGGAGATCCAGAAGCCTGAAAGTCCTAACACGCATAACAAAGGTCAAAAGCCTGCAATGGGAGAGGCACTGTCAGCAAATGACCAAGCTCCCTGGCTTGTTCCCTGTGTCCCTCCCAGGTAGACCCTTTTCTAGGATGTTTGGTGAATGTTGATACAACCCCCTCTGTACACCTGCCCACAATAAGCCCTTGCTCAAATGTTTTGTCATTAGTCTCCCAAGGGAGACACTGCCATTGGAGCCTTCATTTTGTTGTTTGAGACAGTGTCTCACTATGTAGTCCAAGTTGGCCTCAAACTTGTATCAGTGCTCCTGCCTCAGCCTCCCAGGTGCTGGAATCACAGGCCTGACATACCCAGCTAAGGCTTTATAATGGTAGTGGCTGAACTCCCTCTGCTCATTGGCACATCAGATGCAGTTCCTCTGTATCTTGGAGTTTTGTTTCATGTTTGTCTAGTAATTACACAACTCAGACTCAGTCACTGGTAAACCTCAACTTCTCCATCCAGTGGGTTAGAAAGTGTCTGACAGACCCTAAGGACAAGATTTCTACTTTCTGAGATTCACACTTGACTGTGTACAATACCTATTAGCTTATTTCTAGAATATGGGAAACATGAAGGGATTTTGTCATAATTATGGCTCCAATTGAGTTGGTTTTGAGTCCTACAGCACAATACGGTTGGTCTGATTTCAACAGGTCCATGTCTTTGTTTTTTGAGACAAAGTCTTGCTGTGTAGCTGAGGGTGGCCTTGAACTCGTGGCTATCCTGCCTCAGGCTCCTGGGTGCTGGAATTACAGGCATGCACCACCACACTTGGTAACAGATGCATGTCTTTTAGAGATTGGCAGGCCTTCTTGACACCCTTTGAACCACCTTCATGAAGGGGCCATGGAGCAGGAATCACAGGTATTCTCTAGCTGAGGTCAGCCTCCAACAGGAAACAACTGTAAAGTGCAAACAATGGGACATACCCAGTAATGAGTGTGCAAACTTGTTCTTTCCTAGGTAAGCCATGAGACTGGAAACCCAATCAATGCCTTGACTGCAGGCATTTTAGGTCATAAGCAGAAAAAGAAAATCATCAGTTTTGAAAAAAAAATGGAAAATTTGATTATTACTTCAATACTTGAAAATGAGTCCATATCTGGGTCTGATTCAAATGGGTGAAACACATTTTATTTGAGTGCTGGGTCCCACGACCTTACACAGGCAAAGATATCCCAGCCCTCTGTGTCACATTAATACGCATTGTGCCAAAGGTAAAAAGCTGTTTCTATCTATGCAGTATGATTAAAAAAAAAAACAACAAACCATTACTTAAGTTGAAAATTATAGTAAAACATATCTCAACAAATTTACCTCAGAATACCCTCGTTATACCTTATTTCATACACACTGATCCCATCCATCATCCTTTCCACTTTCTGAAGCAGTTCTGCCAGTCCTCTTTTGTATCTTCAGTTACACTATCATGGCTGCCTCTGTACCCTGAATTAACTTAACATTTCAAGGCCATTTTGACTTTTCAGGAGCTAGAAGTCACCTGGTGCCAGGTCTGGTAAATAAAGTGGTTGAGATTTACAAGCCTGCCTTTCCTAGGTGGCACTGAGCAGTGCGTTTACCATATTTTTTTTATCATACCTCATAAAGACACAAAACAGGACTTCAGAACTGCCCCAGAAAGTGACAAGTGTGTTTGAAGGGGAAAATTGAGGGGGTTAATGGGAGTTAATGTGTTTGTTTTAAACCATAATATATACTTCAACATTCACTGTATTTTTTAAATCTCACCTAAGCTTCCTGATAAGCATCTTAGAAATATTTTGAGAGCTGGGCACCAAAACCAAAAATAAACTAGAGCTCATCAAACTCAAAAGATCTTACAGGGAAATGCACAGGAAAAAAACCCAGAAAGTGGAATGGCAATGTAAACAATGAAAAAACAAATTTTAGACCATAGATGTGATAATGTGTTGATATCTAAAGTATGTAAGCAGCTCATACGACTCCACAGCAAAAAATCAAATACCCAAATTTTAAAATGACAAAGAACAGGTATTTTTCCAAAGACCTATAAATGGCTTATGTGTATGAAAAAAGTTCAAAATGAGCTGTCCTCAGAGAAATGCAAATCAAACCCACAATCATGCCACCTCACACATCAGGATGGCTCTTAAGATTAAAAAAAATCAGAAGTGGCAGTGAGGATGGCAGAGAAAATGAAACTCTTGTACATAGCTGACAGGAAAATAAATACGTCCTTACACAAAAGTATGCATATTTTTCATAAAATGAAGTAAGACTGACCATACAATACATGAAACCAACCTCTAAGCTTATATCCCCCAAAATAATGTCACTAACTCAGAGAGCCAGGTATAGCGGCACACACCTGTCAACCCAGCACTTGGGAGGCTGAGGCAGGAGGATTGGCAGGACTGGCTCGAGTTCTGAACTATATACTAAGACCCTACATAAAAAAAGGGGGGGTTGGGGATTTAACTCAGTGGCAGTGCCTGCCTGGCAAGTGGGAGGTCCTGAATTCGATTCCCGGTACTAGGCGGTGGAGGGGAAGGTCCACTAACTCAAAGACAAACTTATGTTCACTGCAACAATACTCCTAATAGCCCTCAAGAGACAAATGAACAAAACTAGGCATGGTGGCACACACCTGTGATCCCAGAATGTGGAAGGCTGAGTGACGCAGGAACATCATTGAGAGTTCAAGGCAAGCCTGGGTTACACAGTGAGACCTCACCTCAAAAACAAACAAAAAAGAAAAAAAGAAGGGAAAAATGGATAAAATGCAGTTTTAAAATAACTAGCCACGGAAATGGGAGGAAATTCTGTCATTCACCACACTGTACTTCAGCCCTGGGATACTATGCTAAGTGAAATAAACCAGATACAATAAGACAAAAGAATGCACAATCTCACAAGTGGAATCCAAAGACAAGTCAAATCAGAGAATGGATAACAGTTACAAAAGGCTTGTATTACATATATATATTATATATATATAATATATATAAATATATAATATATACTGTATATTTTAGACTGAACAAAGGTATGAACTTTCATTTATAAGATGACTAAGTACGTGAGAATTTATCTGTAACCTCGTTAATTTTAGTTCATGCTAACAGTATATTCTTGAAACTTAAAGACAGTAGTTAAGTGTATCCATGACACAACAAATAAAAGCGTAACTATGTGAGATGATGAATATACTGGGTTTATCATTCTCATTGTTTAATAATGCAGACATCAGACCCTAAATATAAAAGATAATTTTCAATCACATTAAACATATATTTTAAGAAACACTACAGTGGAAATTAGAAACTTATAACTGAAGCCATAAAAGTACACAAATACTGAAATACTTGAAATATTTAAAATTTATCTAAAGAACCATCCAGAAAGCCATGACTGTTGTATGTTAGACTTTAGGATAGTAAAGCAGATCCCATACCACGTACATGTAGTTTCTGTTCAGTTTAGAACACCATTTAGTCAAAGTTAAAGAGAGTGATTTTCCAACATCTCTACCTTTCGTCTAGTCTTTCTCCACTGCAAAATCAAACTATTGCCAGAACTACAACTCTTTCAAATCAACCCATTTGCTCTATTGGAACTTCTCACATATTTATTAAGACTCAAGGAAATGCAAAATGTTTGCATGTTTCTTATTCTACACAGCTTTGAAGTCAGTTCTTTCAATGATGCCTCCATATTCCTTAAATTCATGGAGCATCCTTGGAGTTCTTTCAAGCCACGTATGAATGTTTATGTTGCATATATTTATAAGATTTCTTGAGACTGAACTGCAATTGCTAAGATCAAGGACTTCCCAAAGTATTTTCTGAATTCCTTACATTCAAAGCATTTCTCTCCAGAGAGTTTTCACGTTCATTAATGTCAGGAGGACTTCTGTTACCACTAGTTAAGGTTTCCCCACATTCCTTATACTCATACGGTGTTGCTCCAAACGGTGCAGGTGTCTCTCCTCCGAAAGGTGTGGGTGTCTCTCCAAAAGGTGAGGCTGTCTCTCCAAACGGTGCAGGTGTCTCTCCGAATGGCGCAGGTGTCTCTCTAAATGGTGTGGGTGTCTCTCCATATGGTGTCTCGCCGGTGTGTTTCCGTAAATGTTTATTAAGGCCCGAGTGCTCAGTAAAGGCTTTTCCACAGTACTTACACACGTAGGGTTTCTCTCCAGTGTGAATTCTCATGTGAACACGAAGGTAAGAGGACCACAAAAATGATTTCCCACATATCATACACTGAAAGGGCTTCTCCCCAGTATGCGTCCGCATGTGAATGGGAAGGTAAGAAGAACAAGTAAATGTCTTTCCACACACTGTACACTGAAAAGGCTTCTCTCCAGTGTGAATCTTCAGATGTACATTAAGATAGGAGGAAGATGCAAAGGCTTTCCCACAGTGGTCACATTCAAAGGGCTTCTCACCCTTGTGACTTCGTACATGTGCAATAAGGCCTGAGGAAGTAGTAAAGGCTTTCCCACATTCCTGGCATGCATAGGACTTTTCACCAGTGTGATTTCGCAAATGTATAGTAAGGCCTGAGCGTGCAGTGAAGTCTTTCCCACAGTAAGTACATTTATATGGTTTTACTCCAGTGTGAATTCGAAAGTGGGTCTCAAGGGATGAGGAATTTCTAAAAGATTTTGTGCATAGTTTACATTTGAAGGGCCTCTCACTACTATGAGTTTTTATGTGTACTGTCAGTTGAGCAAAGCTAGTGAAGCCTTTTCCACACTCCTTACATTCATATGGCCTCTCCCCAGTATGTGTCCTAACATGCTTAGTAAGACATGAGCGCTCAGGGAAGGTTTTCCCACATTCTGTACATTCATAGGGTTTCTCACCAGTGTGAGTTCGCATATGAATGCGAAGGTAGGAGGAACGGGAAAATGCTTTCTCACATAGGTTACACTGAAAAGGTTTTTCTCCAGTGTGAGATCTCAAATGTGCAACAAGAGATGAAGAATAAGCCAAGGCTTTTCCACATTTGTAACATTCAAAGGGCTTCTCCCCTGTATGAATTCTTATATGCTCAACAAGTGCTGAGGATGTACTGAACGCTTTCCCACACTCCTTACAGTCATAGGGTTTCTCGCCATTGTGAATGAGGACGTGCTTGGTAAGGCCTGATCGGGCAGTGAAGTCCTTCCCGCAGAAATTACATTTATAAGGTTTTATTCCAGTGTGAATTCGAAAGTGAGTCTTAAGGCATGAGGAATTTCTAAAGGTTCTTGCACATACCTTACACTGAAAGGGCTTCTCGCCAGTGTGAGTTTTTGTGTGCTCAGTAAGTTGAGCAAAGCTGGTGAAGGCTTTTTCACATAATGTACATGCATAGGGCTTCTCCCCGGTATGTTTTCGTAAGTGAATAGTGAGCCATGAGCGTCCACTGAAGGCTTTTCCACATACTTTACATTCATAGGGTTTCTCCCCAGTGTGAGTTCGTATGTGACCGAGAAGGTAGGAGGAACGCGTGAACGCTTTCCCACATACATTACACTCGAAAGGCTTCTCTCCGGTGTGGGTTCTCAAATGTGTGGTAAGATAAGAGGAAGAAGCAAAGGCATTCCCACAATGGTCACACTGAAAAGGTTTCTCTCCCGTGTGACACCTCATATGTTCAGTAAGGCGTGACGGCTGAATGAAGGCTTTCCCACATTCCTTGCACTCGTAGGACTTCTCCCGAGTGTGTTGTCTTAGATGTACAATTAAGCTGGAGCGCTGCGTGAAGGCTTTCCCACATTCCTGACATTTATATGGTTTCTCAACAGGGTGGTTCTGCATATGAATATTAAGATAAGCTGGGTGTGTGAAGAATTTCCCACATTTCTTACATTCATAGAAATTTTTCTCAGTGGGCATTTGAGCATACCCATCAGCATTTGCAGAGACAGTAAAAGCTTTCCTACACTGCTCCAATTCAGAGAGATTTTCTCCACTTTGAGTTTTCACATGGCCCTGGAGCTGCGACTGATTAATAAAAGCTTTCCCAGAGTCACTGCCCTCAAACGATTTGTCTTGAGTAGAAGTTCTCTGCAAAGTATCTAGAGCCAGAGTAGAAGGTTCTGCACCCTCGTTCAACAGAGACAGTTTCTCTTCAGGAGAAGTTTTCTCCACCAGTGGAAGTAAGTCTTTCTCACACTGATTACACTCTGAAGTGTCCTCTGTATTCAAAGCACTCATGTGTCCCTGAAGGCCTGTGTGTTCACTGAAGACTTCTCCAGAGTGCTGAGAGTCATAGAGCTCCCCTCTATGGTAGCTTCCTGCCTGCTGATAAAGGGATGAATGAGAATTAAAGACTTTTCAAATTTACATGGGGATGTGCACTTATGGGAACTCAGAACCACGCTGCTTTGCTTTTTTTTTTTTTTGAACCAGGAATTGAACTCAGGACCTCACACTTACCAGGCAGGCACCATGCATTGAGCTATATCCCTTGTCTCAGTACCAAGCTCCATACTAGGTATGGGACATACCTCTACGGACAATGACCTCTGAGGTTGAAGGTATCTTAAATATCTCTCATTTGTGATGACAGAATTCCTAATCTTTCCTGATTATTTTGGAGACAGGATCTCACTGTGTAGTTCAGGCTGCTCTTGAACTCACTCTGTAGCCCAGGCTGGCCCTCAACTCACAAAAAACCTCCTACCCAGCCTCCCACACCCTAGGATTACAGGTGTGCATCACCAAACCCAGCTGTATTCCCTGAATTTGGAGAATGAGAAATATCTGATTGACTCTTACCTGCTGTATCCCATTTGACGTATCTGACCAGAAAATATCCTCAATTGCTGGATTTCTGGTTTTAAGGTGCATTTCCCATTCTAAAGTGAAACAGGAAAACATGTGAGGGTTTCCACAATAACATGGAAGGTTAAATTAAAATGTATAAATTTATTAACAATTTTTTTCTATGAAATTTGAAATTCAACAATGAATAGAAACAATGTAATCAGGGAAGAAAAGACATAGCCACACAAATACAGGAACCATAAACTCAAACAGGAATACAGCCAAGTCATCAGTGTGACCTTAAGAAAGACACAGATAAAATAATGGCATATGGAAGTTGAAAATATCCAAACACATTCAGTCCAAGGACCTCAGCCTTCATATTCCAAGTAGTCCTTTACATTTTCCCATTATATTTCCAACTATGTTGAATTAGTCAATAACAGATATTTTTTAATAAACACTCACCTTGGAGAAAGCCTCGCTCCACTATGGTCAACTCTACTTCTTCCTCCAACCAAGAGATCAGGCTGGGTTTCAACAGTTGATGTCCTACATGCAGGAAAAGATACATTCATGTTAGAGGCTCAAGTAGGAGATGATAAACCTTCCCATGACAGAAAACTAGTTTTATTTTTCAGGCAGGGTCTTGTCATTGTAGCTGGCTTTGAACTCACTATGCAGACTAGGCTGGCCTCAAACTCAGAGCACTCTTCCTGTCTCTGACTCCTGAGTGCTGGGATTACAGATGCACGCCACATGCCCAGTTGAAAACTATATTTTTGATGAAAGGATTAAAATTATTTCTACAAACAGCTCAAAACACAAATATTCATGCTTTGGGTGTCTTGAGATTTGTTTTTTCTAACACCTGAAATCCTCAGGCTTAAGCACACATTAAAAAACCTCTAAAGGAACTTAATACTCCCACACTTCAAGCATTTAATAAATGTTCTGTGTAGTTTGAAAAAAGAAAAAACTCCATTAAAATGTTTTTCCAAGTAAAACGTGAAGCACAGAAAGTTCCCGTAAGAAAATACTACAAGTGGTTCTCATCTTTACAGTGAAACAAATTCATATGAAAGAGCTGCTAAGACATGGATACAGACAGAATCTCAGAATGTACATTTCTTATTATAAGGATGGTGATGCTACTGTTCCTAGGAACACATTTAGTTGGGAACCACCATGGTAGATTAAATCAAGTTGAGAGAGACCATGTTCCTTATTTCCCACTGTATCTGAGCTGATATCACTAATCCTGGAACAGTTAAGTATGCAATACATTTCTGTTCTCTACGAGGCTACAAGGAATGGCAGTCTTACCTACTGTGGACAGGTTCTGGTAGTTCTCCAGCATCACATCTTTGTAAAGATTTCTCTGAGTTGGGTCCAGTGAGGTCCACTCCTCCTTGGTGAAGTCTACGGCCACATCCTCAAAGGTCACTGAGTCCTAAACCATCACAGAAATACTAGGTTGGGCCAAGTAATGTCTCCCTTCACCAATGTACACCAGTGAGTAAGGAAATGACACCAAGGCCTATGAGGATTCTGAAGTGTCCCATCTTCTATCCCAGGGTCCAACAGTCCTAGCACACCTCCACCCACACTCCCGCACTGTGGTCTCCTCCCAACTGCATGGCTTTTGGCACCTCTTACAAGTGAACTTATCTCATCACAATGAGACAGAGCTTGTTACAAAGCCTTGCTAAATCATGATATAGGAATACATCATTTAAGAAAAGACAGCGTCACCTTCCTCACCATCTGTCAGAACATTCAAAAATAATTATCTAAATGACACCTAGGAAGTAAAGATTCACATTAGGGTAATCCTTCACCTATATGAGAGGCACACCTTCTGGAGAAATTCAAATAGGGGCTAAATGTTGCTATAGGTCCTTTTTTGCTCTAAGGAGCGGTGGAGGCAGACCTACTTAAAAAGAAGTGCATCTTCCTGGTTGGCTGAATTATGCTATTTTGGGGAAGGATAACAAGCTTCACAAACTATGCATATCCTTACATTCATCATTACCAAAATATATGTTCAGAGATATTATTCTCTCTTGTCTGATACCTACTTTCTCACGATGATCTCCCCATATTTTGATTTGCTGACATGGAATTCCCAATCTAGCCTCAATATACAAAACGAGAAATATACTTTACCAGTTGTATCCCACCAGAAGTATGTTCAGTCAAAAAATCCTGCTGAACTGCTGAATCTTTGGTTTGTAATTGCATTTCCAATTCTGAAACCAAAAAGAAATGAAACAACAAAAAAGTTAGGCTTAAGGAAATAGAATAGTATATTAAAGGAGTTGATCACCTTAGCAACATCCAGTCTCACAATAATAATTTTAATAGGGGTTGGGGAGTTAGCTCAGTCCTGGGTTCAATCCCAAGAACTAGAAGTTTTTAAAATATCTCTTTCTTTTAAAATTACAGAGAGCCAGGTGTGGTGGCATACATCTATAATCCCAGCACTCAGGAGGCTGAGGTAGCAGGATCACTGTGAGTCTGAGGCCAGCCTGCACTATACAGGCAGAGCCTGTCTCCAAACAAATAAAAATAAAATAGAAAAAGATAAAAATAAACATGGTGGAACGAAAGTAACAAGATTTAGAGTGCAAATTTAGCACTGGCAAGGTCACAATTCTAATTTGTTAAATACTGATTCTGTGAAAATTAATGCATGATAAAATAATGAAAAAGTTATTATGGGGCAAAAACATTGGAAACAAAAGAAACATCGGAACATCAAAAATAAACTGGACATGGTGGAACATGTCTGTAATCCCAGCTAAAGGGGAGGACAAAAAGGGAAGATCTATAAAGTTTGAAGCCAGCCTGGGCAACTCAGCAGGACACTCTCAAAACAAACACAAACCAAAAAGAATGGGGCTGTAGCTCAGTAGTAGAGCACTTGCCTCAAATAGACGAGGCCCTGGGTTCAATTCTTAGTATCCCAAAAACAAAAGGAGGAAGAGGAGAAAAAAGGAATGTGAAAATGAACCTGAAGAAACACAGTAGGTTGTTTCCTGAAATTAAATAACATTGGAAAAGACAGAAAAAAAAACAACAGTTAAAGAGAACTTCTGAGAGGTTCTGTTTCAGCTTTTATCTGGATGTCCCTGCAACGACTCAAGCACTCATAGATGGGGCTTTTGGGAGGTGGCTGGGTCGTGAGTGTCTGACACTGGATTATGGGTGCGGTAAGTGATAACTGGATTAACCTTCTGATCAGGTTAGCACAGCTCTAGGTGTGGATAATGGGAAGGCCTGCCCTAGGTGTGGGTGGCACCAACTAATGGTCTTATAGCCTGAGTAGAATACAAAGGGAAAGGAAGGCTTGCTGTGTGCTGCTTTCTGCCTGACCTGCCATGGATTATTTCTCCTCTGCCATGCTGCCTGCCTTGGAGCCAGCTGACCATGGACTGAAATCTCTACAAACTGTAAGTTAAAATGAATCTTTTCTCTTTTACCTTGCGGGTATCAGATATTTTGTCCCAGTAATAAGAAAGTAACTAAAAGCCAAGTTCCCTGTCTATATTCCAAACGAAGTGAACCTATCAAAGTACTGGGTGGTTCTTCACAAGCACTCACCTTGGAGAACTCCTTTCCGCCCTGTCCCCAGTTCGCCTTTCAAGTAAGATACACGGCTGGGTTTGATGGGAGTCTGACATCCTGTACACAGGCAAGATTTATTTATGAAGCAACAACAAAGCTATCTATGAAACTATCTCAAGCAAATTAAAAAGACAGGCAAGGCCTCATTGTGTGATCCCCAAATTGGTAATCTCTGACCGCTGAACTCCTGATGCCATGATCACATTTACAAAGCTCTAACATTTTAATCAACTAGGCAAACAAAATAAGTAAACCAAAGAGATCTTTGTCAGGCAACAAACTAAACCAGTGGATTGCGAATATACCTCAGTAATGGAGGTCTTCCTAGCATGCGTAAGGGCCCAGGTCCCATCCCCAATTCAACAGAAAAATAAACTAAACCAGTGACTCATAAATATTAAGAGTGAGCTGGGAATGGTAGTACATGCCTGTAATCTCAGCACTCGTGATACTGAGGCAGGATTGCTGAGTGTGAGGCCAGCTGGGCTACACAGTGAGTTCAAAACCACCCTGCACAACAAAGGAGGATCAAAAATTCAAGCGTAGTCTGGGTAAGGGCAACTTAGACCAAGCCTCAAAGTTAAAAGAAAAAAAAAAAATTTTTTTTTAGGGTTAAATATGTAGCTCAGTACAAAGACCCTGGGTTCAAAACCCAGTACCAAAAGAAATTTTAAAAGTTAAAGGAAAAAACCCTTACCACAAGAGATTAAAGTATACTAGGGAAGAGATTCACTTTACTCACCATTATCACAGTTGACCCCACAGCTCCTGAACACAGTAAGTACATAACATACACTTGGTTCTACATGAGGCTACAGGAAATGTGACAGTCGTACCTACTGTGGCCAGGTTTTGGGAGTTCTTCACCATTACATCACTATGTATGCTTCTCTGTGTTGGGTTCATTAAAGAGTCTTCCAGCTGGGTACCATCCACAGCCACATCCTCAAAGGTCCCCGAATCCTAAACCACAGCACATGCTGTCATGAGCCAAGTAATAAATATCTCCACCAATTTTCACAAAATAAAGAGAGGGGCCCCAATGCCTACACAGAGATGTGAATTCTCTCCCTGTCAGGTTCAGCGGCCCTAGAACTCGTCTCTGCACCCACACTCACTAATCATCTGCTCCACTCACAGCTTCACTGGCACATCTCAAACATGAACTCGTCTCATAGGACATGAACCTCTTTTTTGTCTGACTTACTCCTCCAATGAACCTTTCTGTGTACTGCATACATTTAATATACGGTAAGAGATGAATGAAGTCTTTTGAGAAAACAACTTTCATTTTATATCTTTGAGAACATTGAGCTGTAAAAGAAACACAACTGGCACCATAAGGATCAAATTACTTGGTAATTACTAAAAAACTGCAATGACTTCCAAGGGAATCATTCATGAATGTGAAAAGCTCCACTGCCTGGGCAAATTCAACTAGGGACTCAGTCCTTGTATTAGGTTTTACTTTCTTTAAGAAGTCCTACAGACAAGTCTGCTGACGTAGAAATGTGCCTACTTGGTAGATGCTATATAAGTGTGTGGAATGAAATACATTCTTCATACCTGGTAATTTCTCAGGGAGTCAGCCACTGTCCTTTCTGTCTCTATCTCTTCTTCATGACTACAGACTGGATCCCCAGAAAGTAGACTTCCTGGAAAAAGAGTAAAGACATGACAACTCAGAGCTGACCAGAAGTCCACATTCACATCATATACACGTCTTTCCAACCTAGTTCCAAATTACCATATAATCAGAAGAACTAAGACAAATAATTTCTAGCAAAGTACAATGCCACTTACAGCCAGAAAAAGTGATGGCAAGCCATACAATACAGTCTGTTAAGTACAATGATCTCACTTCACAAGTAAGGAGTTAAGCCCTGAGATTAATTTCCCAGTGGCGAAAGAACTCATGAATGCAGGGCTGGGGATTTAGCTCAGTGACACAGCGCCTGCCTGGCAAGTGCAAGGTCGTGAGTTCGATTCCCGGTACCAGGGGAAAAAAAAAAAGAACTCATGAATGCAATTACACAGTACCTCTTCCACAGGATATATACCAGGGAGCTGACTTCTACACAGTGCTGACCCAATGCAGTGCCTCAGGAATGGACCAGCAGCATGGCTAATCTAGCCCACACCATTGGGCTCTGTATCATGCAGGAAGGCCTACAGCCAATTCTGTGGAAAACAGCAGCAACAGGACTTACCATGGGACAAACTGGTAATATCCATCTTGTAAGTCTGATGAAGAAATACGTGTGATCACGCTCTTCGTTGATTCCAAGACACGTAAGGGCAGCTTATGAGTTTTAAGTGGACAGTGGCAATAACTTTCTTTTTAAACGGGGTTATGCAGATTCCTGTTGACATCAATCATTTAATAAAGAAGCATTACTTAGCAGTTTTCAAACATCACATATTAGCTTTCTGCTGGCAACATATGAAACACCAGTAAAGTGGTACAAACTCTTTTAATATGAGATTAGTTATACTGTCATTTAATAAAGAACACTATGTACTGTCCATTATACTGACAGCTTTTACACACATACTTATGTACACATAACAGCTCCATTCTATACATTATTCTATTTATTTGAATAATCCTTCACAGCAGATAATCACTATTTTATGATGAAAAACAAACAAAAAAGCCACAGATTTAGATTCCAGAAATGAGGAAATGGTGACTCAGCACTTCAATGCAGGTAATGTCCCTAAAAACTCAATTGTGCTTGTAAAGACAGCAGAACCAATATGGACTCTGGAAATGGCCACCTGGGATACATAAAATGGAATGTTCTACTTTCACAAGAAAGTTATTAAGAACCAGCAAACGCATTAGAATATACCTCAACCATGGGAATCCCTGCTGGTGTTCACGGCAGAGGAAAGAAAGCACCAAAACAGCAGGCCAAACACCTGTGGATCTGGTGTGCCTTCTCAGGGATAAATCTTGTTATTACTGATGAGCTTTCTCTTCCCAGTAACTTATGTTTCTATTTTTTACTCTTTTTTAACCTCTAGTTCATACAAAGGAAATTTAAAAATGCAGTAAAGAGCATCAACAAAGGAAGTATATGACCTCCAAGACAGAATATTTATAAATGTAGTCACAGGACAAAAATGAAAAAATAAAGAAACCTTATGGTATTTATAGGAAAGTAAAAACAGTGAACTCTCTCTGCATAAGACCTCAAGAGAAAAAAAAGACAGGGAGATAGAAACAGCACTTTAAAAACCAAGGTTGGCCATGGTGGTGCATGCCTATAATCCCACCTTTCCAAGAGGCTGAGGCAGAAAGATCTGAACTTTAAGGCCAGCTACACAACACACTTCTCAAAATAAAAAATACAAAGGTCTGGTTTTGCATCTCAGGATGAAGTCTTCTATTTTCCCTCCAGTACAGCAGGACAAAACACATTCTGTGTTTGTGCCATGGTGGTAAAGCCCTGGCCTACAATTAGAGGCCCTATCTTCCCATTCCAGTACTGTAAAGTGGGAGAAGGGGGAAAAATTTCCCACACCTGCAAGTATCAGTATCTTTATACAGGAGGTCCAGAGTTCTCAAAAATAAAACCAAAACAAAAATCAATCCTCACAGGACTACAACAGTATTACAACCACACACTCAAAAATCAAAAACAAGGCTGAGCATTGGAGCACATGCACAGCATATATGAACCTATGAGTTCATTCACCAGTATCACAGGAAAAGAAAAACTCAAATGCAGGAAGAGTACCCTAAATGCAAGAGAAAGAAGATCACATGTAAGAGTTCCAAAAACCCCAGGAGCAGATCTCACTAAAGAACTTAATGGACAGGACAGAGTGGGAGAATATGTAAAAGCTATATCCTACAAAAAGAATAATAGCCATCTTTTGCATACCCTTCCAAACATTAAGGAAGAGAAAATACTTCATAAACTTACTTTATGAGGCCAGTATTACCATGTTACCAAAGCAGAGAAGGATGTTATGAAAAAAGAATATTAATTGGCCATGGTAGCACATTCCTAATAGTCTCAGCACTTTGGGAGACTGAGGCAGGAGGATCATCAATTCAAGGCCAGCTTTAATATAGATGCAAAACACTTCACCAAAATTACTATCCAACTCAACTCAATAGAATATTAAAAAGGTCATTCTCAGCCAGGGTTGATGGTGCTCACCTGTAATCCTAGCTTCTTGGCAGGCTAAATTAGGACAATCACAAATTCAAGGCCAGCCTGAGTAACTTACTGAGATCCTATCTCAAAAAATATAAAGGACTGGGAAGACTGGGGATGTAGCTCACTGGAAAGCACTGCTGGGTTCAATCCCAAGCACCTAAAAAAAAAAAAAAAAAAGATCATTCACTATGATCAAATGAAATTTATCCCCAGGAGAAGCCACAAATGCTGTACCTAAAATAGCCAAAGCAATTTTCAGCTTAAAAAAAAAAAGCTGGAGCCACACTATGTAATTTGACTACCTATCACAAGGCTACCACTTCAGTACTGCAATAAAAACATATAGTCCAGTGGAAGAAAAAAAACTCAGGGACATTTCATGCCAACTGATTTGCAAAGTATATACTGAATACGCAGCTCAATTTCAAAAAGAATTAATGTGTATAGCCACTATGGGAAATGACATGAAAGTTCTTCAAAAATTAAAAACAACTACCACGTACTACAGTAGTCCCTCTGTTGAGTTTATTTCCATTGGACAGGACATCAGAATGTTAAGAGACAAGAACACTACAGATGCTGCAGCACTATTCCAAACAGACAGAACGCTTCAACAACCCAATGCCATCAACAGAGAAAAGCACCCAGAAAATGAGGTATATATGCTTGCTATTATTTAGCTAAAGAAGGAGAAATTCTGTCTTGATCCCAACATGGATGAAACTACAGGACATGATGGTAAGCCAGGCATAGAAAGACAAATACCAACTGAGCTCACCTAAGCAAAGTGCAAAACCTCACAGAGACAGTAACGTAGTGGTTACCACTGCCTGAAAGTGAGCGCTTTAAAGATGTTAGTGAAAGGACCTCAAATCTGGGCAACACAGGAAGTTAGCATGTACTATACATCACAGCAATATACTAGAAAATTGATGAAAGATGTTTAATTTTTCTAACCACATACAAAATAGTAAGTGAGGTAATGCATACTAAACAGCTGGATTTCCCCAGGCCACGGTTTAAGCAGATATAAAACATCATGTTGCACACCATAAATATATGTAACATTTACTTGTAAACTGCAGCAAAACAGAATACAAACATAACCAAGTATGTCTGTCTGCCTACCCCCTGCACGGGCAAAGGGAATATAACCAACACACATCTACATACCAGGCCTACCGGGAACTGAGAGCCAGGGCTTGTTGGAAGTTACTGCAGGGTCTTGGCATGAGGGTCCGACTTTTTGGCTTGCCTGGGCTGCAGTGAGTGAAGTGGTCTTGGGCCACACATAAAATATATAATATAGTTAACACAGTTAAATAACAAAACCACCTTTATTTTTCAATTAACTCATGAAATTACTTTATGAAATAGCACAGTAAGCCTAAGTGTAATAATTAAGTAAGAACACCTACAGGTCTGCTTAGTAACAATGAATGCCTGTCTTCAAAGACACACACACACATATAGGTAGGTTGAAATATTAGCGGTAATCATTGCCTCTCACCTGCTAAACCACACAAGCACACTGTTATGGTCGCTACATTGTGTCAACTGGGGGAGTCTAGAGGTTTGGCTAAGTGACTCAGCAGGGAGCCAGGGTGCTTACTTTGTACGCACCCTGAGCCTGTGCAAGAGGAGGGCGTGGAGATTATGTGAGAGCTACACGCCCCTTAGGTGGGGGTAGCCTGCTTACAATGTAAGGGAGGGATAGAGGCTGCTTGCCGCCATTCCCCCCTTTGCTCTTGTTGCTTTGCTATGTTCTGCCTCGGAGCCAGCCAAGTACCGACTGAAACCTCCCCAAACTGTGAGCTAAATAAACCTCTCCTTCCTTCATTTTGGGCGTTGGGTATTTTGTCTCAGCAGCGAGAGAAAAGTAACCAAGACACACAGGGAGTTCTAGCACACTGATACATGCAAGTTTTAATCCAACCGTGTGCGGCAGGGTCAGGAGGTGGAACCGGCAGAAAGCACCCTGTTGTCACCAACACAGTCCCTGCTCAAACACACTGCAATTAAGCCATGAAAAATTTTTCTAAGAATCACATAGTTTATGTTAAAAGCTTACACTACTGTGACATTATCAGCTACCCAGCGCTGCAGATAGCCTGTGGGCCAGGAGCTGCACAGAGCTGGTCTACAGGAAGTACACAAAAAGAACTCTCATCACTGCATGTCATTTCCACTTGTTTCACAGCCAGGGATGACAAGAAAAGAAACACATGGCAAGACCAGCCTTTCAACACTGCTGCACCTAGCTGCATGAGCTGGGTGCTTAGAAAGTGTGATGTTCTCATCAAGAAGCTATAAATTTGCCGGGCATGGTGGTACACACCTATAATCTCAGCATTCAGGAGGCAGAAGCAGGAGGATCACTGTGAGTTCAAGGCCAGCCTGAGCTACAAAGTGAGTTCAAGGCCAGCACGAACTGCATAGCAAGACCCTGTCTTAAAAAATAATAATTGTAAATTTAAAAAAATACATTACAGTCCACTTCTGTGATCCCTCAATTTTTTGTGTGTGTGTCATACCGGGAATTGAACACAGAACCTCTGCACTGAGCTACATGCCTAGCCCATCTACCCAATCTATCCACTCATTCATTCACTCATTCAATGAGACAGGGTCTCGCTATGCAGTTCAGACTGCCTTGAGCTCACTATGTAGCCCAGGCTGGTCTCAAACTCACAATGATCCTCCCGCCTCAGCCTCCTGAGTGCTGGGATTACAGGCATGTATCACCATGCCCTGACCCTTTTTTATTCTTTATATGGAGACAGGTCTCACTAAGTCACCCAGGGTATGCTTGAACCTAGGATTCTTCTACTTCAGCCCCCCAGAATGCTAGGATTATAGGCATGCGCCACCATGCCTGGCTGCACAATATCTTAATACAAATTGGAATGTCTAACACTTGTCACTTGAGTTGTATAAATGCTAAAGTTGAGTGGGAGATGTTAAAGCTGACCTAACTATCAGAAGTAAACTTTGATAAAGATGACAAATAGTAAAATTCCAATTAAACTTCTGAGAGTTTAGAACCTAGCCCTCAATCAGGTGACTCCTTTACAACAGCCTGGACAACAGGTCCAGCATCTCTGGATTCCAGGGAATCTTGGGACAATGTTATGTCATGAAAACCCTTTGCTTTCTGGCTTTTTCCTTATGGTCCTCCTTGTATCTGTGCACACTGAGAAGGAGGCAACCCTGAATAGCAGAAGCCCCTCTTTCCCTGCTCACATTCACTAAAAAGCTACTGGTCAGACTCATCCATCTACGGAGACCCTGTGGCTTGCTACGAATGCGTGTTTCTCGCAGTTTTTGAACATGGTCTGAAGTCAGGTGTGGTGGCACATGCTGCAATCCCAGCACTCAAAAGGCTGAGACAAGAGGATCCTCAGGAGAATAGGAGGCCAGCCTGGGCTACACAGTGAGTTCAAGGCCAGCCTGAACTACACAGCAAGACCCTGTATAGAAATAAAAAAATAAAGGGGCTGGGGATTTAGCTCAGCGGCACAGCACCTGCCTGGCAAGCACAAGGTTGTGAGTTCGATTCCCGGTACCAGAAAAAAACCAAAAACAAAAAAAAAACAAAACAAAAAAAAAAAAAGCATGGTTTGAAAGCGTTATGGGACAGTGTTGGTTTGCTCTAAGGACTTGATCTTGTCAGATACTTTTTTGTCCCAGTGCCAATGCTGGCAGCCCTGCGCCTATGCCTGAGCCACAGCATGTCTGACAGAGGAATACATGTGGTTCACTCTGCATGGCACACTCGGTTGGATGGAAAAGGGGAGATCAGGAGCTGAGGGTGTATTTCAGTGGCAGAACACCTGCATAGCATCAGAGGTTCTGGATTCAATCCTCAGTGCTCCATGCATAAATGAAAAGGGAAGACCATATGTGGATAAAGAACCACAGACAGCTGGGCGTGCTGGCGCACACCCATGACCCCAGCACTCTGGAAGGCTGAGGCAGGAGGATCAGTGCTAAGTTCGAGGCCAGCCTGGGCTACAAAGTGAGTTCAAGGCCAGCCTGAACTGCATAGCAAAGTCCTGTCTCAAAAAGAAGCAAAACCTCCCTCAAAAAAAGAAAGAAACCAAGTTCAAGCCCAGCCTGGGCAACTTAACAACTTAGAGAGACCCTTTCTCAAAAAGTATTTTTAAAAGGGGTGAAGATTGGGGCTGGGGATTTAGCTCAGCAGCACAGCACCTGCCTGGCAAGCACAAGGTCATGAGTTCAATTCCTAGTACCGGGGGGTGGGGGGAGGGCTGTAGATAAAGCTTAATGTTAAGGCCCTGAGTTCAACCCCCAATATCACCACAGACAGACAGAAAGACACATACACAATCCCCATGTACCTACCACACACTGGGTTTCACTAGGAAAAGCAAGTGCAGGATGGGAAAGGAAAGGCATAGGTGCTGTGCATGTATTTATCTGGGCCACAAGACAAGTACTGGTCTCCAAAAACAATCCTTTTAAAACAGCCACTGGATTCCGATGATGTTGGGTCAAACAGTCTAAAAACATCTACTAAGTCCATTTGTTCACAGGTTTGGTTCCGTTCTGTTACATCTTTGCTAATTTTTTGTTTAGTTGATCTCTTTGTGACAACAGGGTATTGAGATCTCCCGTTACAACTGTGTTATTGCCTATTTGATTTTTCATGTCTACTACTAATTGTCTTATGCAGCTGGATGCTCCTGTATTTGGTGCGTATGTATTTATGATTGTCACCTCTTCCTCTTGAAGTTTCCCCCTAACAAGTATGTAGTGACCTTCTTTATCCCTTTTGATCATTCTTGGTTTGAAGTTGACACTGTCTGCAGAAAGAATAGCTACTCATACACAAGACAGCTAAGATAACTGTACTAATAATTTCCATTGGTTTATTGAAAGGAACAGTTAATATTTGTTTGATCAATCTTGCATACCTGCATCTGGTAACCTGAGCAACTACTCTGAAGATAACAATAAGTAATACAACAACCATTGTTGATTTCCTGTCATATCTTGTTTTGAAACTGTGTTATCATTTTTATAGTTTTTGTTATTTTTTGTTATTTTCAAAATAAAAAAAAGACCTTTCATCAGGAAGAAAAAAAAAAAAAAAAAGCCACTGCAGTTGCCTTGCCCAGACTTCCATTTATAACCCTTTTATATCTCTATTCTACTGCATAAGGGAAGACATATCAAGGATATATGCTCCCAGCTATGTGACCTTAGATGGCAGGAGTAGGATCAAACATTTATAAAATTAAGTCTCGGCAAGATAAACAACTGCAGAGGTTGATTCAACCTACTCTTATTTCAAAGGATTTTTTGTGGAGACTGTCGTGTCTGTCAGTTAGACTGATTATTTAGGACTATAAAGAGAGATATGAAGGTTCTGATTGAATTATTTTCTAAAACTGCAGCATTACTTATTTTGAAAAATGAAAAAGCTTATCTCAGTTATTACCAGTAACATCTATAATTCTGAGGGGAAAAAGGAATACTCAAGTAATGCCTAGCTAGTATTGTGGCTCTAGAAATATAAAGGCATATGCGATTTTTTTTTTTTTTTTGGTTTTCTGTAACCCAAGCAATTCAAAGAGGCTTTTGTTTTGCTTCCTAAAGAGGTGACCTTATGCGATGGCTAAGTAATTTATAGTAAATGCTCAGGATATTCGTGACTGCTGCAGGTTTTGCCAAGTGTGCCAATTTTGGGATCTTTTCCTTCACTGCGGACATGCTAAGGGATAAGAAGCAGTATTTCATTGCACTACAGAGAACCCACTCCAGGTCCCGGCCATCTGCCAAGGGACTGAAAAGAGGCCACTATCTCTTGAAAGCTCCTTGAGCAGAATTTACCAGAAGCCTTAGATTTGCCCCGATGCTGTGGAAAGACCACAGCGGGCTTGACAAGACTGTGGGGAAAGCTAGGAGCCAGAGCATAGTGCACGGCTGGCTCCGGATCTGAGACCCTGTTTCCACAAAAGCCCAGTGCTAACCAGTCACTGCTCATTTTAATGATGCACGATGTGAGCTGAGAGGGCAATGCACTCCATCAGGTGCTGGGACAACAAAAGGCAACATGAATGACTGGGAGATTGCAGCAGGAATAAAAAGCTGCCAAAACGTCTACAGTGGAAGAGTCCCTGTTGGTTTTAAACTTGTAAGCCCAATTTATAAATAAGGGGCATGTCCCCAGAACCCAGATGTTGAACTATGGATCATTTGTAAATGTGACATATAAATGTCCCTGGAGATGGATGTTATGAATATTATGTCCTACCTGTGGTCCTGGAGCAAGGTGGATTGTTTCAGATGTTGTCTTCAAAGACTGTGCGTGATGAAAGGTGTCAAGGTGCCCCAGGGCAGCCTGGGGAGGTGAATGGTGTCTCTTCTCAGGTGGAGGCACACCGTCTCTGAGGCCGGCAAAACAAACAATGAACGCAAGCCATTACCCAAGTATAACAGCAAAATGGTTGCCAGCTGATTACACAGAATCAGTAGTTTTAATTATACAAGTGCTGCTTATAGAGATCTTCATGAACAGAACTGCAACATTAAGGCTGTATTGATTCACTATGAGTAAAAAACACCAAAAAAATTCACTATGAGTGCCATTTACCTATTCATTTCTTTTCAGATTTATAAACAGGAAATGAGAAGCTGGGGATTTAACTCAGCTATACAGCATTTGTCAGATATAGGCAAGGCCATGGGTTTCAGCACCAGAAAAAAAAAAAAAAAAGTCTGGCCAAACAGAGAAAACAGTTGTGATAGTCACCCATTTATTAAGTTTTATGTAACAAGTTTTCTTTTGTTTTTCTGTGGTGCTTGGGATCAAACTCAGGGCTTTACACACGCAAGACAGGTACCCTACACACCGAGTTATATCCCAGTCCTTGCATAACAAGAGTTAATCCTTGCCAGGGATATAGCTCAGCAGCACAGTGCCTGCCTGGCAAGCACAAGGTCCTGAGTTCAATTCCCAATCCCAGAAAAAACAGGAGTTAATCTTTGAAGAGTCTGTATTAACCTACTTTGGGCCATATTAACTATTTTAATTAGGGCCTGTGAAACTCCACATATCAAACCAATTGTAAATGATGGGAACATAATAACTAATTGAAGGCCAGCCTGCACACCTTAGCTATTCTGTCTCAAAAATTTAAAAAAAAAAAAAAAAATCTGAGGATGTAACTAAATGATACAGCATCCCTGGGTTCGAAGCCAGTACTGCCAAAAAATTAGTGGGTTCCCAGGTATACCTATACTTTAAGTAACAATGTCAAAATTGATATACTTTCGTCAACTAATGGACTTTAACAAACATAAATGTTAACTATGCAGGTACAAAATACAAACTTTAGCCCTATCTTTTCTTACATGTAAATTTGGTACATAAATTTTGGAGTTTCAACAAGATCAAAATACACAACTTAAACTATTTCTCCTATATATAATTTGTCATACACTTCACATTACTAAAGCTGAAATATTCTAACACATATATAAATCTATTAAATTTCTTTGTGTTTTCTCCCCTGGTACCTAGGGAGTTGGTATTACATTACTAACTAATCTACGGTTACCATTATCTTTGTTCAACCGGGCATATGCACAGTAAGTAAAGTTTAATGTTCCTTTTTATCCCACTTGGGCTCAAAGCCACTTAAAGCAGCCGTCTTGCTCATTTTCTTCTTGCTTCAGGCTTTTAGCCACCATAAACTTAGGTGTTTTGTTTTTCTGTGTCTGGGTGGTAACAGGAAAAGTAGCAAGTACCAGGTTCCTCTGTTACCCTCCGGTAGAACAGTGGTAGCAAGCCTATGGCATGTATGCTGCAGCAGCTTATCTCATTGGAAGTTGTGTTTTTCTTCTAATGTATGAGTTGTTTTTTCTAAACTATAACCTCAGTGTTCAGGTTTAACTGCAACAGTGGCACTTTGCAATAAATAAGTGGGTTTTGGCTGGGGCAGGCTGAAGCAGGAGGATCGCCACAAGTCTGATGCCAGCCTTGGCTACATACCGAGTTCAAGGCCAGCCTGCACTGCATAGCAAGACCCTGTCTCCAAAAAACAAAAACAGTAACAATAATAACATTTAAATAAATAAGTAATGGCAGTTCAGGTATGTGGTTTCTGAACTGTTTGCCCTCACTCCCCTAGAAGGACCCTTGTCCACATGGTTACTGTTTTCCCTCCTTTAATGATTTTCGTTTGCACTATCTTTTAAAACAGACCAGGCAGCTAACAGTCGCACAGCAACAGCTAAGAGGTGGAAAGGGCTGGAGCACATTAACCAGGAGACTTATTACCACAGGTAAGTTGAGAAACATCCTGCAGCATCTCTGGCGGACGGGAATCAAAGTGCTCCTCCTCCCACTTCTCCCCAGGGAGTCACCACTCAGTCCACCCCACACAGGATCTGCCATACCCATGAGGTTGGGAAGAAAGACCAACAGCAACAAGGGAGGTAGCAGAGAAGTGTCCACTGCCGCTCCTCGCTGGAACAGACTCAAGCTCTGGTGGATTTTTAGTTACACTTCTGCCGGTACCATCTGTGCCCTCAAAATGCTTAACCCCCACCACTGGCATCCACAAGCCTTGCTTCTCACCAAGGAAACCTTCTCACCACAAGGGAAGCGTAACAACAGAGCACAGTCACGCCAGCAACTAGTCTCATCTCACTCACTCAGGGGTCGCTGCTCAGATCAAGAGGTGGAAGGGCTCACTGAGGACTCAGTGACAAGCCAAACAGCACACACAACGCTCTGACTGAAGAGATTCTTTCTCACAGGGCAAAGCCCACCCTCTGAATCAGAGCCTTCCCGTGCTACTGTCTTGCGGTAGTCAGGATGTATACACCGGTCCAAACTGCTTCCAGTTCCAGCAACTTCAGTACTGAAGGTTTGGAGACCTTAGTTCAAGAGATAAAAGCATGCTCCAATACATCCGGGTCATTTTGACTTCACGTACCAACAAGCGAGGAGGTAAAAGTGTGCATACTTGACTCATCTCCTTTGCATATTTACATACTCATTATTAAAGGCTGTAAGTTTGTCATTACATAACAAAATACTCGGTGAGAATCTGACTAAACTTTAGGAGTGATTAACATGGTCTGTGGCTACATGGCCTGTGTCCTCTCACTATGGGGAAGGATCAGAACCTTCCTAGGTAGAAATACAGACTTCGTGGATGCTGAGGAAATTCAAATGTGTGCAGAAGGCACACAGCATGGTCAACAGTCAGAGTGGACTACGCCAGGCACCAATTTATTTATCTAGCTGCAATTCTAATACCAATTTCAACATGGAATACAGACCATATTCTTTACACAGATGTCGAACTTGGCCTGTGAGTGTGTCATGAGACAGTAACTGCCTCAGCGCCACTTTTAGGCTTCACTGAAGTTACCGGAGAGCCAGGGGTATTCTGTCACCTCCGGCCAGGTGAAAGCTTTCCCTCCACATGCACTGCTCACTCCTCATCACACTGATGAAAATCCCAACACTTCTCCCACATCCTGCTGATCGCGATCACATCTAAGAGCCAACCCAGAGCCAGGTAAGCAAGGCCACATTCTCAAGTGTTTTTACACTGGCCAATCCACCGCCCCAGTGGAAAAGCCCATGGGACAATGCATCCCACTTCACCTTTACAAACGCACAACCCCAGCAGGCCTTGGGACACACACCCAGAATCACTTACTCAAGAGATTGAGGCAGCAGAGCCCCAAGTTTAATCCCAGCTGGGGCACCTTAGCAAGACCCTGTCTCAAAAAATAAAAAAGACAACAGACTTGTAGCTTACTGTGATGACCCTAGATTCTGTCCCTGTACTAGTACCAAAAAAAAAAAAAAGGCACAGTCCGAAGGCCCCCCTTTCTCCACTCCTGAGCACTCTTAACATCTCTATATTTCTTGTGGGCCCTTAAGGGCAGCCCTCAAACCTCATGGATGTTTGGGAAATAAAATCTATTTCATGAACATTGTGTCCTTGTCTGCATACCACTTACCAGAATGTACTTCTGTTCCAGGCAGGATTAGTATTTACAGCCACACACCTTCTGGCCTTTGAAACCGAAACAGAGAAACATACAACTGGTGCAGCAAATGGTAAGCTTGTCCCACGAGGGACACAATGAAAGGCATTCAGACTCCTCTTGGCTTCCCTCCGGGTCCTCCCACATGGCGAGCACCATTTGGGAAGGCTCCCCGGCCGGCTGGGCAGCATCTGTGCCACACTGCACTGCCGCCTGCTGTCTCTGCTGAGTGATGCCAAAACTCCCCACCATGACGCGCAAGGATCTGACCAACTGTCAGCCCGAACAGGGCAAGAGGTCCAAGCACACTCAGTTTCCACCACTCCCTCCTACTGGTCAGAGCTTGCTCAGGTGGACTGACTTGTTAAAAAGGGGGTTAAGCTAGGCAGGAGGCAAACACAAGGGTCAGCAGAATATGAAAGGAAGACTGGCACGGTGACTCACTAAGTTGGAAATTCAGTCTGAGGTCACCAGGCTTTCCAGCCAAGAGACACATCCTTCCCCGGGGAACTAATGGCATGGGGGAGATGACCTGGCTGACAATGCTCCAACTGGGGTCTGCTATCCCTGCGGTGCTGCCTCCTTTCTATCTTCCCTTGGCCCTCGTGAGGTCAACAGGGACAGACTGGAGAGGGAGGCGATGCCTGTATCTCTCAATAGGGGGGCCATCTGGACTACCAGGAGCTTGTCAGGGAAGTAGTGAATGAAGAAAAAGGAATTTTAACCACCTAAAGATTCAAGCCATTCTAACAGCTTTACAAAAGAATAGGAAAAAGCCTCGACATCTCAACAACCCAAAAGCAATAGGCCCCTTCCCCTCCCCTTCTTTCTTTTATTAGTAAGAGACAGAAACCACCATTTCAGGCAGCTTTTAAAATAAGAAGGAAAAAAAAAGCCAGGGCTTAAGCGGGGAGGAGGGACACGGGGACAACACACAATACTACACTTTATACATACCAGGTACTGCGCAAATGCCAGGGCTAACAACAATGCTACCTGTCTCAGATTACTTAGTGATTTAAAAACAAAGCACCAAACACAGAAGAATAAAACGAATTAACTTAACTTTAGCTAAAATGTTCATTTACTCAATCTGGGGTTCCAATTATAGTTATACCTAGGGATTCCATTAAAGTTAATCATTGTGTCCCCTAAAGTCTTAAAATGGTAAATACAGAAAAAATATAAAGCATGCCTCACACTAACTTTACTACTTTAATTTTCTGTAGACTCACCATCCTAAAACATTCCGTATCAAGTAAGCACCCTAATATAATAATATAATTAAAGACTGTGATACTTAGAAGCACTTAGAAATTTGATACTCAGAAACTTGAGCCAGGGATATAGCTCAGCAGCACAGCGCCTTGCTTGGCAAGCGCAAGGCCCTGAGTTCAATTCTTGGTCAAAAAAAAAAGAAAGTTCCCGTAAAAATTTTGGGGGCTGGGGATCTAGCTCAGCGGCACAGCGCCTGCCTGGCAAGCGCAAGGTCCTGAGTTCGATTCCCGATACCAGAAAAAAAAAAAAGAAACTTGATAAAACTGAACCCATGAATTCCCAATTAAGATATATTTGATATAAAGATGAGAAAAGTTTTGTACCAGGATACAGTTCAATGGCAGAACACTTTCCTAGCATGTCTAAGATTCAGGAACAATAATAGTTCATGTAACTTAAAACGGGGCCTCAAGGATTAAAACTTCTGTAAAACTCAGTTCATGAAAGAGGGATTATATCAACTGCTTCTCCATTTGTCAACCCAATTTCGCCTGTTCTTAAATCTGAAAATAAGCCACGTGTCGTGAGGCATGCCTGTAATCCCAGAACTCTGGGAGGCAGAGGCAGGAGGACCCAAATAGACAGCATGGGCAATTTAATGAGACACTGTCTCAAAAATGGGAGGAATGGACACAAGGGATATAGCCGAGTGCAAAGGCCCTGGGTTCAGTCCCCATAGTGCAAATATATATATACATATAAAATAATAAAATAGAAGGCACTTCATGATGGATTACTCCAATCTCAATGCAGTGGTCTCATCCATCAAGGCCCAAGAGCAGTAATATTGAAATTACTGATTCTATGCAATCAACACTGTAAACACTCTATTATAAATTTGGCTAACATATTCTCTCCAGTGACTATTTCAGTAAGCTCTTGGCTGTAGTTTGATGCATCTTCACAAAGGACACAACAAGCCTGGCACAGCGGCACACACTTGTAATTCTAGCCTTCAGGAGGCTGAGGCAGGAGAATCATTAGTTCATGCCAGACTAGGCTACATAGTAAAATCCTGCTTCAAAAAACAAACAAAACCAAACAAAAGATACAATACACCTTTTCCAAGCTACCCAACAGATCTGTCATCTTTTTTGAAAACAAGATCTTGGTGGGCATGGTGGTGCACCCTATAATCCCAGCTCTTAGGCAGGCTGAGGCGGGAGGATCACAAGTTTGAGGCCAAGCTGGGCAATTTAGCAAGACTCTGTCTCAAAATAAAGAGCTGGAGAAGTAGCTCAGTGCTCCACGGGTTCAATCCCCAGTACCACCAAAAAACCAAAGAAAAAAAACAATCTTAATGACACTCACCTTCCACGGGAACATCCTTTTACAAGGAGACGCCATTAACACATTCATCAAGGATATAAAATTTCAGCATCTTAAAGTACTATCTGGGTTTTTCTTGGCAACATATTTCTCACATATTTTACATGCAAGATCAAACCAACAAGGACTCCTATTAGTGCTTTAACAACAAAAGTTGAACATGTCTATAGTCCCCAGTCTGAGGTCTGAGGCAGGAGGGTTACTTGAGGTCAGTTCAATGCCAGCCTGCGTAACATGACCCCTGCTCAAAAAAACAAAAACAAACAAAACAAACAACCCCCCCTATGAATCAAAAATTAACTAAAAAGCAAAACACTGCTTTATGAGAGTCCAGGATCTCTGGACCCCTTAGCGTAGCTCTGGTTTTGTTTGCTTGAGACAGACCCTCACTATGTAGTTCAAGCTAACCTTGAGCTCACTGTGTATCCCAGGCTGGCCTGGAACTTGCAGCAACCCTTCGTCCTCAGGGTTAGTGGTGCGATTACAGGCGTGTGACACCATGCCCAGCAAGATGGTTCTTTGTTACTCCATGGCTTCTAATGCATGAAATTCTCCCTTCTGACTTCCTGGTATTTACCATCAAAAAGAAAAATGACTGGCCACCTACCAGGCTCTTCTGGAAACAAACAGAATCTCTCCAGACCACAAGCCTGTGACTTCCTATCCCTAGCCACCCATTATGCTGTGGGTCATAAAACCAACACGACATAGCAGGGCACTGCTACTCGTGCTTCTGTAAGACAAGAGGCAGTCAAAAATGAGTCCTTTAGAGCGTTTCACCTGTAGGAACAGGCCTGCCCTATCAGAAGCCAGGATGCTACAGGATGATACACCCACCCCTAGAATCATGCTACCTGGAAAGCCCCATGGGATCAAGTGAATGGTTCGAGTTCACAGACTGTGACTATCACGTACTGACCATCACACATGATGAAACTAAGAGTTGCTGCTTTCCATCTTTTAGCCAGGGTTGACCTAAATAAAAAGACTGGACCCAACAAACAACATACTTGGGTAAACTTTACCCAGACATCTTCATGCTCCCCAGTCATCAAGCTTAACAAGTAACACACATGGAATTTAATGAAGACACAGGCCCCCAGGGCTCCCCATCTCTCAGCTCCCCACTACAGGCTAGATGAGCACTCAAGTGTCTCCCAACTTCCCTTCAGGCCTCCAGGGCACTCCTTGCCTTTCACTGATCTGGACCAGTCACCATCCCACAGCCCCCTTGCTCATGTGCGAACATACTGTTGGTTTGTTTCCTTCACGACTGACACTGTGCACCACATACACATGCCGACCCAATTTACTGTGCACCTACCCTCGGTCACCTGGGCCCCAGATTCTTGTTCCTTACAACCCTGCAGATGTAGACACTTGAGGTTCAAACACTGCAACCTATGTGGCACCCCAACTCCCTTTCCCTGCCTGCCTACTGGTCTCAGCTGGCTGAAGGGTGTCCCAGAAGATGTCTGTCACAGTTCTTCTAAGAACATAACACGTACTCTAGGCCTTCCACCCACACTGGTGCCGACTCCCTCTAGACACTAACTCTCCAACAATGGTTAGCACTGTTTCAGTGCTGCGTAACAGTTCAAATCAACCTGGCCCACAGTAACCAGCAAACCTCTCTACCTTCCAGCAGACTGTAACTACAGCATGGCTGCCACATCCCACTCTGACTCTGGGGATCTCCACCTGCCAGCATAGACGGTATAGCCCTTCCCTGGGGAGCTGGAACTGAGCTCACTGGCTTAGTGAAGTAGTCTAGTCAGGTGGCAAGCGCTGCAGGCACGCTTTAGGAGCTAAGGTCATCCACCAGCTGACACTGTCCAGTAAGTCCTACAGTTCTAAGGAAATGAATTTTGTCCATCCTGAGTGTGGAAATATTCTTCCCTACTTAATGTTCCCCAGTTAAGCAAAAGGAGACCACAACACAACCCATGCCTTGACCACAATCAGATGAGATCTGAGCAGAGGACCCAACTACACCAGGCCTGCAGTTCTAACCCAAAGAAACAGTATTATTCTAACCCACTGTCTTTGAGCTATTAGGCAGCAACAGAGAACAAATATATATAACATTAGACAATAAAGTCTAAATCCTTGCCTTTTGTGTCAGGATTCTTTCACTCAAAATTCGAGCTGCATGTGGCAAGACGCCCGTAATCCCCAAGCTAAGGAGGCTGAGGCAGAGCTGCTATGATTTTGAGGCCTGCCAGGGCTACATAATGAGCTCAAGACCAGCCTAAATAACAAAGGGAGACACAGTCCCCTTCCCCACCAAAAAGTAAATTTTAGTCCAGCCGTTTTTTTCCATCTACCTTTCATTTATTCCATTCGCTATAGAGCAGTGGCGAACCTATGGCACACATGCTGCAGCATGCTGTTTGTATTACTGAAAGCTCTAACAGGTTCATCATCACTACTACAGTCTTCCGTAAGTATATGAGAATTTGCCCACTATTCTGTTCACCCAAAGTTGGGCTGCTTCCAATTTAGGGTTATTACATATCACACTGGAATACACAAGAACATGCATTGACACATATGAACATGCACTACTTTTGTATGACAAAGTATGCACATGTACAAAGCCAGGAGATACTGCCAACAGTTTTTCAGATTGCTCCAATAAACATGCACACTCTCACCAACTGTAGCATCAGAACTTGCACCAACATTTCACCATATTCACTTAGCTCTTAGGACCGTTAAGTGACCAACAGAGAACATGGACACTGCCAAGTCACACAGTCAAGTGAGTTTTCTGGTTATTTCTCCAAGTGACTTTGGCTCCCTACATGTACCTATAAGGAGTGACCCGGGAGTGGTCACCCTAGACCAGGGATGGCAAACCTATGGCACACACACTTCAGTGGGCTGTTTGTTATCATTGAAAATTCTGAAAGGTTCGCCATCACTGCTCTAGACGGTTCATTCATGGAAATGAAGGGTTAGTCTGGACAGGAATAAGACAATCCAGGCTGACTGGGGAAAATAAAACTCAGGTCTGACTGGATAAAAGTATCTCCTAAAACAGATAATTAACAAGTGAAATGTTCAGAGTGAACTTAACACTGGGCCATGGATTTTAATTCCTCAAATCATATACTATTCATGATTTTTAAAGATATTCATGCTTTGTCCTGTATTTTTCTGTTCAGGGACCCAATTTCACTATGTTATGCAGACTGGCCTTGGGCTCACCATCTTCCTATCTCAGGATTTTAAGTAACTGCGATTATAGGCCCATATTTTATCTTGATTTACATAATTTCAATGAATAGCACTTAGTTTTCTT